ACTCCTAGAATTCCATGCTGTCTGGGGAATTCTGGAACACCTCTTAAAGTTGCCAAGTTTGAAAAACACTGGTTTAGAGTGTAGCTTCTGAAATACCACTGAAAAGTCAAGTGCAATTCTGGGCTTTGAACAAAATATCCATCCTTGGAATACATAGATATTTTCATCTTGTCCAGCAGGACTTATCTTGCAAAAAAAAAAAAAGGTGGTTGGACTTGGTAATCAGAAACCACCTGCCTCTCAGCATTCAATATGTGGGGACAATCCATTGGGAGAAGCTATGCCTTCTGTTATATGTTTATATGGATGTTCTTATGAGGAAGTACTTAGCTGACTGTAATGGGAAGGCAGATGCTGGACTTGAAGAATGTTTTGGTCTGATCTAGCAAGGTTGGTGTTCTGCTTTTAAAAATGCACAAATGAATGAGAAGCACATAGCATGCCCCAGTGGAGCATCTCTCATTAATGGCAATAAATGTAACTATGCCAGACGCTAAGGCTAAAGAGAAAAGGGCTTCACAGAGTTATCTAGTATATCACCGGTGGAAACAGAATGCTGGGCTGGATAAACCTTGGTCTGATTTAACAGGTAGCTCTATATCACTGTTTTTATTCCAGGTTCCATAGACTTAGTTGGTGCTCAAGTGGAAGCAGAAGATAGGGAGACAAAGGGGCCATGAGCAATGGACATATTTCTTGATGGTCCACCAACAACACCAGCCTCGGCTTCATTTATTAACCTAAAAGGATTGAAGTTTGTCCAAGTTCACCATGGCTGCTTATATCTGTGTGGCAGTGGGATTGTTTCATTCTGAATAAAATCTATTTGGCTTTGAGGCTTTCCAAAAACATGGAGTTATAGCAAGGTTGGACTGATACCTGAAGAATCCAAAGGATAGCAATGGAGGGAGGATTCTAATCTCTATCTCTGCTAACTCAGTTGAAAGTTTTTAACTATGGCCTAGTCCCTTTCACACTTTTATCTATACCAGTATTCTCCAACTTGGTGCCTCCAACTGTGTTGGTAACCTCTCTTACCAATATCTCCTATTTGGTCCAGGGACTTGTCTTTAAACCTTCAGAACTTCTTGTGATTATCACATATGGTTTCCCAGGTTTCCTTGGAATCAATAAGTTTTGGATCAATAAGAAAAATGTTTACTCTTCTCCTGAACTATTTGGGGTTGGGTACTTTGTGGTTATAGTGTGAGGGAATTCTCCCACAGTTATTGTCATACAAAAATTAGCTAGTGAACTTAGTTGTGTCATTTAGAATTAGAAGTTCACCTGGAAGTCAACCTAAAATCCCATTATTGGGAGGGGGAATGAATAACCGAGAGCAAGATAGTAACATCACAAACAGTGTCAGCCCAAGAAGCTAGACCAACGCTATAGAGATTTTATTGGAAGAGCTATAGTAACAGGATTTTGCAAGTCTGAATGTGCTTCCCACTCCCTCACTTTATCTTCATATGAACTAGGGAGGGGCCTGAGACATTTTCTCAGGTTATTTTCTTGGTCCTGGCTTAAGCCCACTTATCAAGGCCATTCCCTCTTCCCTCTACAGTGAATGGCCTTTGCAGGATCTGCATGTGTGTTAAACTGCCTAGAGGGTTTCTTTTCCCTGGCCTAATACGGTGATTCAGTGTATTATCTCAGCATAAGTATGAACGAGGCCATTATATTACACCACAGTATGTTTTCTTTAGGCAGTGCATGTGCTCTGTTGCACAGCAACTCTGTTCAGTGTGTGAATGATTGGCCATTTTCACCCAGAATGGGCCAATCCATGTGTTCCAGGGCTGATTCATGCATTTCTGGAAGTGGAGGAACAGCAAGTGGTTTGTGGCATTCCTGACCCAAATTATTTCAAGACTTCTACTTCCTGTTCTGGACAATCCACTTCTGGAAAAGCATGAACCAACTCTGGGAACACACAGGCCAGTCTGTTTTCAGTGAGAAACAGATAGTGTTTTGCCCATCTCCAGTGGTTTGTTAATCCAAGGGTTAGGTTTAGCATGTTGTGAGAACCCAGTTACGCCATAAAGTCCTTCGCCCCAAAACGCATGGTTTCTGAGAACTGGAGGAGACAATTCAAACCAAAGGAAACAATCCTAACAGAGGGATCTTTGCTCAGTGACAGGGAGCAAAGAAATGTAGGTGATGAAGCAGGTGAAACAACATTGATAGACCTTTGTCTTCTAGCTGCACATTTTTCCCATTCAGAATCCATATCCCTTTGCCATTTCAGCGGTTCAAAAATGGCTACCTGTCCTCTTGCAGCCTTCCTGCCTGTTGCAAAATTGCTCAATGTGTACGCATGCATTGTGCATGCCTTTTAAGGGGTAAACAAATAATCTTGGGAAACAGGCTGCTGCCCTCTAAGTAGTTTGTCAATATGGGATTGACAAAAGCCAACATTGGCATGTTGCAACATGAAGACGTACAAAGAATGGCCAACTCCCTTTTGCATTCTTCTGGCAGGGAAAGAGGCCAAATAGCACATTACAGCAAGAAATCAAAGGTGAAAACAGCTTCTCAGGGGCCTTGATCATCAACAGAAGGGAATCGTTGTGGCATCATTATGGTAAAGTGTTGAGAAAAGAGGGACACAATGATGCCACTAGTTAACCACCAAAGTCATAATAACTCCTCACCACTCAATCTGGCAACTCTCATAATAACCAAATCTGCCTAGAATTCAAAAAGACTTTGTAGCTGGAGAATAGTCTTCATTTTGTCAATGAAGAGGCTGTGGCTTGGATGCTGCGGCCAGTCAGCATTTGGGAAATGTGTTCTATGACTGCGAAGCTTTGGCCTTGAGTTCTGTGATGGAGGGCATGGCATTTCCAGCCACGACATAGCACTGTTTATTTCTCTAGCGCAGGGCTTTTCTGTGGAATCCTAGGATGGGACCCCATGAAAGATTACAGGGGCAAAAAAGTCCCTAGCAATTGTTGGTTTTAACCTCCCAAGTAATTGTGAAATTCAAGTTTTAATTTTTGTACAGTGGAAATGGTAATCTTGCAGTTACAATAAACACCTTACTTTTTCGATTTACAAGGATTGGATGGACTTTCTGGGATGATAATTGGGGCAATCGTTTTTGTGAAATTCAAGTAACCTTAAAATAGAAATCTGCATAAATATGTTACAAACGAAATACAAGTTTTGTTTTATTGCCAATTTTCTATCATAGAGTTTTGCCTCTTGATCAGGGGGTTCTGAGAACCCCCCCCACACACACATTTACTAACAGGTTCTACACACTGAAAAGGCTTGCAAGCCCACGTGCTAGAGAACTGAGTAAGCAAAGCTTGCAGACTACCTTCAGTTCACTGTTTTTTGCAAGCTTACAAAGTTGTATCTGGCTTGTCTGTAATGTTGAACCTCGCAGTATGAAAGCCAGTTGCAGTATCTCTTGGAGTCATGTGTTTCATGTATTTCTTAGCCATCTTTCCAGACCACAATTCCTAAGTGGCATAGAGTAGTTTTAAAGTTAATTAAGTCCCCCACAAAGAGTGTTTTATTATAAATTTGGTGAATGAAAGCAAACTCACTTTGTAAGTAATGGTTTGAGGCCAATTTGTTTCTCCTCACCATAGTTAAATTTAACTGCAGTTTGTCCCAGCTTAGATGTCGCAGTAACCTGTGATTACAAGGATTTGTTTCCATTCTAGACTAAACTCTTCCTTAGGAAACATTCATGGACTACTGTATTTTGCTTTAGCATTTGAGCTCTCTTCCTGCTACACCCCTTACCTCCTAGCCATCTCCTGAAAGCGGTTTACAAACCACACTTTAATGAATTTATCCTCCACTGCGAACAGCTTCCAAGCCCAGTGGGTGATAGCGTGGTATGGCTCACTGCCTACCCTTATCTACTCTAACCCAAAACAGGTTTTTTAAGGATGCAGAGAGATCTTTCTCAGGCCTGAGAGATATTGGGCTTTTGGCATTGAAGACAGCTTCTTTGATGCTCAGCTACTCCTTTTTGCTAAAACCACTAACATAGCTACAGTACCTAACTGGAAATTTCTCAGCATGGGAAGCACCAATTAGGTGTCAAATATGGAACTCCATCTTTTTTCACCCGGAGCTCTTGCCTGTGAATGCTTACCCCACAATAAATCTGAAAATTCACAAACTATACAGGATGTTCTGACTTTGCTGCAAGTGAACATACCGATTCAGTTATCTATCCCTTTGAAACTTGGCCGAAAAGAATCAGGATAGATCACTGTCACCTCCTGACAGCTAAAGTGGGGGAGGGCACAGAAACCATAAAGTCAGAATATGGCTATAATCCCATATAACCTTATCTGAAAAAAAAAAAATATCCCAGGAACTGAGTGTCATTTATAACTGAGTAGATGTGTATAGGATTGTCCTGCTAATCTAATTCCAGAAAGATAAAATTCAATAATCATCAACTTGGTACTACATCATTCTAGAAGCCCTGGAAGGACAGAAAAATGATGAAGCTCATTTCCTGCTATAAAGTTCTAACAAATAACTTTACTTTCCTCAAGACAATATACTGTAAATGGGTGTGATTGAAGGCAAATACTAGAATACGTCATTTAAGACAAATTCCCACTGTAGCTGAAAACTATGCACGGCTTCACACACATGAAATCCACATAGAAACCCAGAAATCTAGCCTTGCAAGGAAGAAAAAAAATATTCTGAACTCATTCTGATCTATCCCTTCTTACAGATGTGTCTCCTTTAATGGAACAAACTGTTGTGTGCTCCCCAATCTACAGTTTAAGATATAAAGGCATACCTCGTTTTATTGCGCTTTGCAGATATTGTGTTTATCAAACAGCATTGCAGGCTACAGAGAAATCTTTCGTGAAAGGAAGATTCAATTGATGCGGCACACTTCATTGTGGTCTTATTTTAAGAAAATTTTTAATTAAGGTATGTACATTGTTTTTTTAGACATAATGATATTGCACACTTAATAGACTACAGTATAGTGTAAACATAACTTTTATATGCACTGGGAAATCAAAAAACTAATGTGACTCGCTTTATTGCGATATTCACTTTATTGCAGTGGTCTGGAACCGAACCCACAATCTCTCCGAGGTGTGCCTGTATACAGCCCAGACACAAGATTATCCCCAAGTGCATATTTAGCACAAGACCCATGTGTATCGTGTGCTCTGGCCAAGACCGCTCACATGGTTGCTTGGTACAGTATAATGCTATCTGAGCTCAGTCCTCCAGGAAACCAAGTTCTGATGGACGGAGTGGCTTCTCTAAACATTATGGAAGATAGTTTAGCGTGCCACTGGCAACACCAAAGCTTGGAAACATAACCCTCTCAATCACTGTTGCTGGGAACATGAGCGGAAGGGGACTACACATCCTCCCTATTGGCCTCAATGTGGGAAATCAAATGTTAGTCAAGATGAGTCTTATGTCTGTTAAATCAGAATGGCTCTTCATATGTTTTTATGTCATCTTGGGAACAATGATGGAAGAATATTCCAAACTTCTAAATAGGGACATCTGTTAAAAATAGCACCATCTTTCATATGTATCAGTTTGAGAAAAATTATACTGGAACTGCACATCTGCTGGAAATAATATTAGTATGTTAGAAGACTCGGGAGATATTAGATAAAAAGCAATCTTCTAGCAATTTAGTGCCCCCGAAGGAGACTTGGGTACCCACAGGGATTTATTCCTCAAGCTGTTGTGATGGCTTGGAGTCCTTTCTGAGTGTGCCATTGTCACATATTTGTTCCTTACACAACTGATGTAGGACCACAGTGAGATGACAAAAGACTATGTACATGGAAAAAGAGTACAGCGTTGCTATAAAATAACATCAAAATCCTACAAAATGGCTACCTGTTTAACAGAGAAACAAAAAGCACCACATAGAAGTTACATTACCTAACAGGAAGAGGAGGTAGTAATTTTGAACACCTTCAGCTCCACAATGAAGATGTAACAAACAAATGGACCGTGGAGCTCCTGAGGCAGAAGTTCAAGTACATGATTAGGCACCGGTATTTAAGGCTCAATCGTAGAGGAAAATTTACTGTTGAAGAAGACCCTCTGGTTTTGCATTCTCCATGGTAGTCACTTCTGGATGATAAAGATGGATAATAATACCAAAGATTCCAAGTTAAGAAGACTGGTTTCTATATGAAGGTGTAGCCATTGCCAATGGAGAATGATGTTTACTTTCTGTCCTCTTTTCTACAGTGTCTCTGACTGACTAGAAGGGACAACATCAATTTAGTGTCTTCTGATCAGTGCAAATCAAGAACCAGTGTGCCTCACCCACTTCACAATGTTTTAACGCTCAACATTTATGGTGCAAATCTTGACTGATGGTTCCTCACACCAAATTGTTTTGCTTCGTGAGGGTTTGAGTTTTTCTTCCAGAAAATGCAACTTTGGCTTAGCCTTGCGTAGTTCTTTTGGTGTTTGTAATCTCCTTGGGACCAGTTTAAAAGCAAACTGCTGAGCACAGGATAAATAGGTCAAGAAGTTCTAGCCTTCTGGAGATTTTCCTAGAAAAATGAGTGACAAATCCAGAGTTGCACAGAAAGATCAGGCCCCAGCCTGATTTAGGCTGACATCCTGACAGCCTAGCCACCCTAGCTGAACGGCCCATTTTCCAGTTTCCACCACTTCTAGCTTCTCTGGGTTGAATTTCCAGAACCGGTCATTTCGAAAGAAATAAACAAAGCCATCCTGATGTGTGACAGCACCATTTGCCAGAACTGGAACTCCTCCCCAATCTCTCAAGCTTCGGGGATAATAAGGTTCCACTTGGAGAGTCTCCTCGTTGACTACATAATACTTAGGTCCTTTGAAAAGCACCAGTTGATGGAGTGGTTGGAAGAACAGGGCAGTGTCAGGGTGGCGTGGGAGGTCACCAGTAAGGCTGCACTTCTGGGGAAAGCCTTCTTCTAGGGAAGCTCCTTTGTAGCGCCAGCATCGGCCACCTGTGGCAAGCAACAGAGGAGACAGTGATGTGAGGTTTCTCTTGGGGACTTTAAAAAAGGAAACAAAACCTGTCAGTCATTAAATCATAAAACCATAACTGTAGTTGAGGACCACAGTTACTCAAGTTAAGAAAACATACATTCATACATGTGGGACTGCCCGTCTCCAAGGTTTCAGCCCGTCTTACCAGATCCAGCAGGGTGGACATGCGCCAGATCCCCTTTCTGAAACAATGTCATCCTGTGAGACCCAGAAGACATGCTCTCCCTGTTGCAACACCTGACCTTTGGAACCGCCTCGAGATCCAGATGGTCCTGACCCTATTTGCTTTCCAGAAGTCCACGAACACCTGGCTTTTTCCTCAGGCATTTGGGCCGGGACATTGGTAGAGCCCAATATGCCTGTTGGTGTGTGAGTTATAGTATGATGATCATTCTTAATTGTATTTTGCTTTACATTGGTCTTATTAATATGATCTTTATGTATTTTTTGTTAGCTGCCCATAGTAACTTGTTTAAGCTTAGCAATGTGAATTAAGCCACTTGGTCTGTAACTAACCAATTAAGCATGTTGTGCAAATATAGCCTTCTAGCCTTCTTGCCTGCCTTCTTGCCTGCCTGCCTTCTTGCCTGCCTGCCTGCCTGCCTGCCTGCCTGCCTGCCTGCCTGCCTGCCTGCCTGCCTGCCATCCATCCATCCATCCATCCATCCATCCATCCATCCATCCAGGCATTTACGATGCCCAGTTGAAAAAAGCAACTCTGGGTGGCATACAAAAAAACCCAAGAGCAAATGCAAACCCCAAAGAAAATAACGCAATACATCAGAGTTTATACAGTGTGCCTGTTTCGGGTGTTGGATTTGCTGCAGGATATACGTTCAAGAGAACAAGCAGGAGCAGCGGCTGCATAGCCCATTGGGAATCCAGATAGATACCCAACTCCTTTGGTGCTTCCACAGAGAACCCCAGAAGAACCAGAACTACAAACAGGATTCATGATTTCTGTAAGAAGCGCTTGTTTACAGTGGCCCCTGCCTGGAGGTCACTCTCTCACTCTTGAGGCCAGAGGTGGGAGGGGGGCCAAGGCCAAACCAGGGCCAAGCCCGTGCCCATCCCTCCTGCCTGTGCCTTACCTTCTCCTTCTCTGAAGAACTATACTCGGATGGCATTCTGTTTTTGCGGCTCCACAGCCCAGCACCAGAAATCTTAATTCAGTTTCATCTCTCTGGCTTCTGAAATTAGAGCAGACGATGCTGCCTGGTTTCATTTACAATTTAGTAAGGGCTAGCACACTGTTTGAGCATGAAACTGAGCAAACTCAGGGAGGCAGTGAAGGACAGGAAGGCCTGGCGCAATATGGTTCATGGGGTCACGAAGAGTCGGACACGACTTAACGACTAAACAACAAAGCACACTGTTTCCAGACTGAGATTCCGAAACAGCTGCATTTTACTATATAACTTGATAGAGAATTTCATGATTCCTTGCATAATAGTTGCAATTAATAAACAAATGAACTGCACTGACGGATGTGAACTTTGTGAGTTGTCATCCAGTAACACGAGGGGTCTCACCTTCCTGAACGCATCTAGCTAGCCAAGGTATTACCCAGAAAGCTGGACTTAGCAAGACCTGGCTGGACTCTTCTTAGGTTTGTAATATCTCTTCCAACTTTATCTTTCAAAGAGCGAGGGAGTTCTTGCCTTTATTGCAATGGGCTGCAGCGGCGTTGTTCATAATTGACTGAGAGCTGTGGCAGGGCCCATATTCTACGTGTGGGGAAATCTTGATATTATTAAGGCAATTTTCTCTGTATGCAACAATGAGATACTGTTCAATCAATGTAATTATTCCTGGCAGCGTTTCAATCCTGAAAAATGGGTCATCGCGGCTAAGCGGAGAACTAATTTAAATTGGAGACCCAAGTAAAGAGGTGAAAAAAGGCCAGAATGTTTTTCACTGACAGCCAGCAGATGGCAGCAGTGCTTACTGAATAAAAGCAGGCCGGGGGGGAGAAAGACTTATGAAAAGTTCTTGCCTGTTGAACAACTAAATGCAGGCAAACCAGTTCAGGGCAGAAGGCAAACCGACAGCGCTCCCTACGTACATTAATGTAGCATTGTGTGTCAAGAAGGCTGAGACAGGAAACAGCAAGTCTTTGTGAACCAATCAGATGGCTTTTGGGAAGCCTTTCCGATAAGATGAGGCAACACGTTGGTATAGGCTTTCATGGCCAGTATCTACTGGGCAGTGTTGAGCTTTAGACTGGGCTCCTGTCTCAAGACCAACCATTGGTCAGGTCACCTGGCTACAAAGACAGGAGCCCAGTCAATCTCTGCTCAGTTGCCTGCAGGGTGCAGAGCAGACCACTTTGCCTCTGAAGATGGCAGCCACAGTTGCCACAAAACATCTGGGAATCTGCTGTCTAGAGCACGGCCACTAAACCCTGAACCTCAACACTGCCCAAAAGATGGGGCAACCTCCACCAGGGATGGAGAATATGTGCCTATCCAGCAGATGTCGCCAGCAGGGACAGTGGTGAGACAGAGCTTCTTCATCACTGGGAGCTAGAGTTTAATGAAATCAATTTGCCAGCTCTGCTCTGTGTTAAAGATCATGTATGTTATCTTCCATTGATTCTGTGCCTGCCGTTTTTTAAAAAATCATCATCATCATCATCATCATCATCATCATCTCCTCTTCCTCCTCCTCCTTAACCAAGGCACAGCACAGATATTGTATTGAATCTCCCCTTGAAATCAGTTTAAGTGGAAATCAACTCACAGCTTAAAAGGACTTTAATTTGGATCAACTGCAAGCGTTGTCTTGCTGTACTCCCAGACTGCAGTCCCAGATTGCTCACCAAGATTGACCTTTGGAATTCTCCAATGTCATAAAAATCAACACCATCTTCCATTTACAGGGTGTTTCTGAAATATCCCAAGCACTGTGTCTCAGTAATTCTCAGAACAATTTGGAAAGGCGTGTTACTATTTTTGCAGCCAGACTGTAAATGGGAAGGTGGAGGTTGAAAGATTCTGCTTTATCTACAGCCTCTGGACAATTATGCAGCTGAAATAAGATCTGATTTGCTATCTACAATAAAATGAAGCTACCTTTAAAAAAGTAGAATTTCTTATCTTTCTCTGAGAAGGCTGTAGCGTCAATGGCGGAAGGAAGGCCTGGCCATTTGGCTTGGAGAAGGTATGGACCAGCAGGAGGTTCTCCTTTGGATATAATCCAGTAATACTTGCCTTTAAAGATGTACAGATTGCCTTCCGTATCTATATAAAATAAAGTGTATTAAATGCCTTGGATATTTCAGTCAAAGAGATAATAATTACTGATTTGGTTGACCAATACAAATGCATGTTGCCTAGAATTCTGCCATCTTTTATAATCTTTTACTTGAATGTACAACTTGCCATATTTCCCCAGAATGGCAGTCAAGGTAAGTAACAATAACATAAAAATAAAGGCACAACAGAATTATAATTATAATGAAACCAGGATTATAACAAAGCCTAATCAATGTTGGACCACAGCTGAAGAAATCCAGGTTTACGCCCCCACCCAGCTGACTGGGTGATATGAAGCTTTCAATCTAATGTCCCCCTAATGTTGTGAAGATAAAAAAATGAAAGGTGAGGAGCAACTGTGAGCTTCTGAGAGAAAAAAGAGAAATGCAAATATATGAATAAGTAAAATCCATTAAAACTTTGTTACATAGTCACCATGTGTGAGTTGGGCATCCATAGAAATTTGTTTAATAAATAAATAACCATCGTTCCATAGTAATCATATTAGTGTTCAATAGTATGGTATTAAGAGTATGGTAGCCTTTTCACTAGAAAAATGATAAAACAGCTCAGGAGAAGTGTAAAAGTCATTTATTTCTTTATTGTGCTTCTATGTTGCTCAATTCCTGTAGGTTCTGAGGGGCTTATAAAACACCAAAACATGTTAAAAACATCTGATCATGTAAATTGCTTCTACCAACTTACCACAACAGGACCACCCACAGGGATTGGCTAAGCCTCCACAAATTTTTCCTAAGGACCCAAATCTTTATAGAGCCCTTCAGAAGCTCAGAAAGGTGGAAGAGAACTTGCTATCTAGGGATAAGCAGTTCCATACATGGGGGATAATCACTGAAAAGCCCCTACCACCTCAGAGCGCCCATAGGCGGCATTTCTCAAAGAAGGAAGCCTTGGTAAGCTTCTGTTCCTGATCTCATGATCAGATTCAGTCTGGAGAAGGCAGACCCTTAGGCCCCAAGCCACATAGGGCTTTAGATAACCAACAACTTGAATTGCACCTGGAAGCTGACTGGTAACCAATAGTTAAGTGAAGTAGTGATGTTATGTGGACCAATTTCAGTGTCCCCATAACTCCTTGGGCAATTCCATGTTGTACCAGTTGAAATGTCAAAATGGCCTTCAAGGACAGCCCCCTGCAGAGCCAATTACAGTAGTCCAGCTGCAAGATGATGAGGGCATAAGTAACTGTGCACAAAGCTTCCTGACACCTCCTAAAGCAGGGATGGTCAACCTTTTTGTGGCCACATTTCATTTCTCCCTCCATTTTTCAGCACTTCAAAGCCACAAGCTAGCCATCTAATGAAACAATGAAGTCACTGGGTAGTCAGGGTCCAAAACTTTTTGGGCTTTTTTTCTTTTACTTTATTCCAGGTTCTGAGAGGAGCTTAAAGATTAAGAACAGGTGCATTTATACACAACTTTTTTTGAGTGGGGAGGGAAGAAAGCAAAACAATCACATTGCTGAAAATTTATGACTTTGCTTCTAAAGTTCAGTGGTACAATTTGGGGGGGGGGCGGACATATCTTTGCAGGCAGCAAATTGGAGGCTGAGAGGCTTTACTCACTTGTCCTTCACCAAAAAAGAGTTTAAGAGATTTGTTCTAGCAGACCTGCAGCTAAAGACCTGCAGCTAACCTCTTCAGAGATTTTTTTTTAAATGCCTTTCTAGAGAAACTGCTACAGTACTCAAGTCTGTTCATGCTTACCTACAGTTAAGGCATCAAAAAATGACAAGCAGTAATGGAAGTTGAAATTTGCCTCTTGATTCTGCTCCTGGCTTTCAAGGTACTGCTTCCCACCCTGGAAGTGAGCAAATGATTTCCCTGGAAGCTGGACCACTGGGCCTCGGGATGGCTTTCCTGTTCAAAAGAAAACACAAAATTCAAAAATGAACCAAGATCTGTATGTATGGTTGGTGCTTAACTCATGGAGGAGAATTCAGCCAACATCTTCATAGTTTACACAGAGGCTGTATATTCTGAAGAATTCCAGCTATGTGCTTGAAACTCTGCCCCTCTTTAAAAAAAACCCACAACACCCTAACGCAGCAATTTGAACATATTATGCAGGTAGGTTTATTTGGATGCCTTAAATCAAATATATTGACATTCTTCGTCTTTTTCTAACTTGTTTGTTCTCTAGCCCTTACAGGTAAATGTTGCAACACTTCCAAAACAAATTTAGGCTTTGAAAAATTCCCTAGTAGCTAGCTTTGCCATCCAAACAGGCCTTGACGTAACCATTCCATTTAGTGGGATAAGCAGGCAGGTCCTTCTGACACAGCAGTGCTGAGTTCCCAAATTGTGAAGTAAGAGAAGGGCTAAAATTATCTGTCTCTCTTTGCTGCCATCTACAAAAGCTCTATGGTAAGATCAGTCAATGGCTGTAATGGTATGTGGGAATGACCTTGGGAGACGGGGAGGAGCTGCAGCCAGGACAACAGTCGGATAAGAGGCAGCTGAGCCCACAGAAGGAATGTGGGTGTGGCAAATGTCTCAGAAGGGACCCTCCCTAGTTTCTTGGGCTGTAAAGGTGACGGCGGAGAAATGTACGTTCAGATGTGCAAAATTCTGTTAATGTAATCTTACAATAAAGTAGAATTAGTTCATCAGGTCATGCTTCCTGTCTGGACTACATGACAGGAAGCTGACAACGGCAGGTACTATAGTGTAATGATTAAGAAGCTGGATTGAAACCAACTTCCGAGTGAAGGAACGGTGAACTAAAACATCTCCAAAGGAGCAGAGATGATGCCGCTGGCAAAGACCAAAGGACCAGCAATGAGCTTGGTTTAATGGAACCCCTCTGGATAAGAAGAGGCTGAGGGACTGCCCGTTTGTGCTCTGGACAGCTGCTCCTCGCATGGAGACTGCAGGACAGCGGTTGACCCACAGGTCTGAGCACCGGGAGACAAGGGAAGCCATCAATCTCTCAACCATGACAGAGCCTTTAAGGACACTGGGTTTGTCAATCTCACTTTCTAAACACATTTGGACTTACAATTATTTCAAAGTTAAATGAGGTCTTCCAACAAGAAGTTTGAAAAACTACCTGGTGAGTAAAACTTCATCCCCAAATAGAAGACAAATTAATTAACAGTTTAAAGAACTTAAAGAATATAAAATAAAGGGCAAGAAACTAATTAAGAATTTAATTCAAGAAAATTTTAAACAGATTAAGGGACCAGAAGAATTTGGAATATTGGAACTTTTGCTAAGATTTTTAAAATAACTTTTGCTTTTATTTTTTATTTTTGAAATAATAAGATAAATAAAACAATGTATTTGCGGGAACCTAAATTGTTGGCCTACCAGGAAAGAGATGATTGCTGAGATTCTATAGAATTGGACACTACAGGGGACTAAACTTCCAGGCAGGGAAAAGGAAAAAAAGAGACAAACCTGTTTTTTATTTTTATTTTGGACTTGAAAAAAAAGTAGCAAAACTCAGAAAATGACAGATAAAGATATGACACTTGAGACATTTCAAAGGACCTCTGAAGAATAGGGGGAGAAACTTATAATTAAACTGACAGCAATGAAAGGAGAAAAAGAGAACAGACCAACAGAATGAAGAGGTGAAACAAATTCCAGTTGATATAGAAATACTAGAAAATAAATCGTGGATAATAAAACAGATATGATAGTTAAAGTGGAAATACAAATGATAAGCCAAGAAATGAAAAATGACCTGGATAAAGGTTTACAAAAAAGGGTTTCTAAAATTTTGAAGACATTTTTGAGACAGGAAGAAGAACGTCTGAATGGAGATTCAAGCCCACAACAGCAACTTGATGAATTAAATATCAAGATTATTAGAATGAAAAAAAAAAAGGGAATATAATGTTGACTTGCTTGATTAAGGATAAAATAAAAAATAACATCATAAAATGCTAGAAGCCCTTTATGGACTTTTTGCTGATACGTGGACAGAAGTGTCAACAATTTTTGGATTTGAGAATGGAAAGGGGGGATTATGGGAAGAAGTAGATTATGTTCATAATTTTATAGGGGGTGGGGAAATATTAAATTTGCTTCTACATTTTGTGAAGAAGATTGGGAGTCACTTCCTTAAATACTCTTTTTTCTATTTCTTTTCTTTTTTCTCTCTTTCTTCTTTTTGCATTTTGCATTTCTTTTCTTTCTAGTTTCTTTTTGATATTAGTTTGTATTATCTTTTAGTATTGTTAAAATCCTTAATAAAAAGTATTTTAAAAAAAGAGAAGAAGCTGGACTGAAACCAAGAAGACTGAGGTTCACGTCAGTTCCCATTTGAGTACAGAGGTCATGGGGTGACACCGGACCAGTCATTTTCTCCTTGCATAAATAAAAGAAAGCACAGGGGGAAAAGAACAAGGCATAAGCTTCCTTTGGTTCTCTGAGGAATGGCATGATGTATATACAATAAAAAGGATGATTCCTAAAATTTCCTAACTTCCCAGTTGATGGACCTGAACATGATAAACCAGAACAGCTCTGAATAGGAGTCACACATCCCTGAATATTGGGTAGTTGGGTGGAAAAATGGCATAGCAACATTTGTGAAGCAGAAGCGAAGTTGCAACAGCAATTTCAACTAGAAAAGCAGCCACTCTGAAAGATCTAAGTGATTCCTCCACTCCAGCTGGTTCCAAAACTGCAATCCACATTTGAAGATGTGGTCGGGCAATCTCTACCTTGAGAAAATTTTGCTCTTGAGAAATTAGGTTCTACTTACCATATAAATTCTGGATGGCAAGAACATCATCCCAGTTCAGGACAAAACCCTTGCCCAGCTTCTTGTAGTAGGGGGACATGAGAGCACTGGGCACGGGGGAGTGTTCTAGGCCCAGTGTATGACCAATTTCATGGGCCATAACCACAAAGAGGTTGCGACCTTTCCCACTGTCCAGAGACCATCTCTCATCATTGTCAAAATGGGCCTCACCACGGCGTGGGAAGAAGGCATGTGCAAGAGCACCTCCTAAGGAGAGAGAAAGAGAAATCAGATCCCAGATCAGTTTGAGCACTATATTTAGCTATGAAAATCAGTCAATTCCATCCACCAAAGCATTCCATACCACTGATGCGTCTCTTCCCCAATCCTTCAAAGTAATTTGAAGAGGTCTATGATCATCTTTATTGCTGCAACTTTGCAATTCTGAGAGCAGGAGACTCACTGCCTAGCCCTGAGTGGCTGCAGGTCATGGAGAAACAAAAAACCCTCATCCTCCCTCCGTACCAAAGGGACATAAAATAAATTGCTTTTACTCCCGCTGTCATATTTTTACTTAATACTGTGTACTTTTTGGGGTTGTATGGAAAAAAATCCAAATAATTCCTATGGGAAGGAAGTTGAAAAGCCACCAAGCCACCTTTCTACTTAAAAGACCTGCTGGGGTGGTTGAAGGCCAGGAAGAATGAGGCAGGAGTTCTTAAAAATAGGGAAATGACCTGCTACAGAACTTCAGCACTGCAAATGTTAAGATAATTTTTGAGAAATAAATTGCTCAGCTGCCAAACACAGATGATAATGAGGAGGAGGAATTCCGCATGCAAGTGCAGAGCTCATTCTGAAGGGTGCACAGATCCCATGTTGAAGGATCTCAGAAGCTATGAAGCTCCTCAAACTCTTTCACAGACTGCAATTCCAGGAACTATAGGGTCAGAATCCCTAGTCTTCAACCAGGTTGATTACAAATATTTATTTATAACATTGGTCAAACACCCCATTAAGTGAGAGTCTAGGCAGTGTACAGCAAAACCAGATTATCTAGAAAATGGTGTTTTCTACATACAGGTAGTTCCCAGTTTAAGAACGAGTTCTGTTCCCAACACCTGTCCTTAAGTCGGAATTGTATGTAAGCCGGAACAGTATTATTGTACAATACTGAATAAGTAGTATTGCATAATGAACTCAAACCATTGTGTATTTAACTCAAATCACTGTGTATTTAACTCAGAATTTGCTATGATATGCTCCATTCTTAACTATGAGTTGTCCTTACATTGGGCATTCTTAACCTGTTGACTACCTGTATTTGGAAAACATCAGGATGGGCAAAGCTAACTTTTGCCCTACCAGCCTGCTCTCTGCTTCTCTCCAAGCCCAGGACTCTTGGCCACTCATTTATTTCTTTTTAAGTCCTGACTTGTTTGGGGGACAAAGAAACCTGTTCAGAGACAGTAGAAACTCAGCCCATGGCAGAAGATGCATGAAATCACAGCTCTGGGCCATTGTGGTCGTACAGCCAAAGGTGTGATGGAATGGACTTATGAAGGCCAGGCTCAGGGAAATAAGCGTGTTCTTAGCCCCCAGCAGGAGCGTGAAAAGTGCAAGAAGATGAGGCTGGCACCTCCCTAAGGAATTCACGGTGTTGTGGCTGGCTGGCTTGGGAACTAGGGGTTCACCCTGGGAGATTTTTTGTCCGGAGGTTGGAGCTTATAAACGCCAACG